TGCGATCACACATAACTTTATTTTCAAGATTGGACCAAAACTGCTGACTTCACTACTTTTTCCACAGGAGACCATTGTTGTTTATAACTGTCGTACAAATGTACACAGGGTGAATCAAAAGTCTCAGGACACCTTTTTATTTCAGACACTTAAGTGAAGAAGACATACAGTATCTGAATACTCGGTGTTGTGTGAGGAGGCTTATCTTTGGGGAAAACATGGGAGCCATGTTAGCCCCCACCACCACCCTTTACATGCTGGGATGTTCAGATATTTCATATTTTAAAAAGTGTCCTGTGATTTTTGACTCACTCTGAAGATAGATGATGTGTATTTCTTACAGGAATACTGGATCTTTAAAATTGTCCAAGACAGTAATTTTATACATACATGTTCCTGAAATGTACCTTTCATACCTGAAGAGATTTTTGAGATTCTATATTTTTGCATCATGAGTCTGGATTAGAATAAATCTGGTCACCAGGTTAGAGTTACTCATGACATCATGAAGATTGGTCAAAAAATGTCATATAGTAATAAAATCTGTTGAATATTTTTCTCATATGAATGGTTTTTGTGTCTTTAAGTTAAAAATAAATAAGTAAATTTGAGCCTGGCTGCCGGCTACAGCATGTTTGTTTACCTGAGGAAACAGTCAAAGTGAGTGAAAATAAAATAACCGTTAGGGAACCAGAAGTCTGATGGTTTTGATGGACTGGTGTTTCGATTTGTTGAGAAAATTATGCGGATAAAAAGATGGATGACTGATCTAGAAGATGTTTCTCAGGAGCTTTGAGTTTGAGCACCGAGCTGCCTTTTTACACCACGCCACCGTCCTGCTTCATGGTTTTACTTGTTTAGTTTTCATTCATGTTTTGCAGCAGAGTGATTTTTATTTTTTCACCTAAACGTCGTCACTGAAATTCTACACGTTCATTTCCAACATATCAGAGAGAGCCTGATGCAGATCGGTCATGTGACTCAAGCTTCTATCTGTTTTCACTGAATTCAGTCGAGCATTTTGTTGTTTACGCTGAGTGTGGACCCACATTTCAGAAGGAAAAATTGGCCATTTTCTACAGTTCAGGAAAAAATTTTATGTTTGGTGTCACACTTAGCTGCAAGTTGTACCTGTTAAACCCAGGTTGTGAGCTGAGGTGTCAGGACACGTTAACACAAATCCTCCACTGCTAAACTCTGATAAGAGATTGAACATTTTTGCACGAGAACAAATTGTAAGTTTGTGATTAAGCGAGCTGTAACGCTACAGATTATACTTTATAATCCACTATATGACTGTTCCTTCAGGACTTTGCTGAAGTTTAAGATGGGTGCAGTGATAAAAGCCCTTTAATGAGGAGGAAGATAAGATTTGCTGTTGGTGACTCATTCGTAGCTGTGCAGAGATTCTGCCCACATCCCCCGCTCATCACGCGCTCGCTGCTTTGAAATAATCAGCTCACGTCTAAAACAAATACGAAGCGTTGCAGCAGAGCAGCAGGGATCGAACGTGAAGCTCTGCTGGAACTCATGACCTCTGTCCACTCAGGAAAAACAAGCTGCTATTGATCCACTCTGATCATTTCAGTCCTGTGAGGAACAGACTAATCACTTTATCAATGTGGGCGTGTCCACTGAGTTAATCACATTAATGTGCTTACACCACTGTCTCACTGTCAGATTCTTTAATCTGGATCTGGACTCTCATTTCTGATTGGATTACAGTAAATCCTCTCAGTTTCATCAACAGAAGCATCTAAGAATGTTATGATGTTTGCCTGGACGAAAGAAAATAATTTTATGAGCCCGAGTACCTGGTTAACAGGTTTACTGCCTCTGAGGTTTGGCTGAACTGGAGAGCGTTGACCTGTGCTTGTGTACTGTCACTTTCTCTTCAAATACACAGCTACTGTTTGCTGTGCCACATGGAAAAGTTTGTAAATCCATCCCACTCAGGACAGCAGGTTGCAAAAGTCACATGTGGAAATCATCCAGAACTAGAAAACATGCTTTTATATTTAATTATCAGGTCTTAAAACTCTGACTTCAACTGAAAAATGTCAAAGTTTGGAGGCAAAGATTGTTTATAATCCCATGATGTTAGTCACATTTTCTGTTAAACCTTTCAATCTGAGGTTTGAATTAATTTCTGTCAGCAGAGGACCACCAAGTGTTTTTCAAAACATCTGGAAAACTGCTAACTGCAGTTTCAAAATCAACAAATTCATTTTAAAAAATGAAATAATGACAGGTAATTTATTAAAACACTGCTATCGCTGCCATTATTCCACTCTGATCTTGTTAACATGAGCTCTTAACTTGAACTTTGCCCTCATAAAAACAGGAAATCAAATGTTTTCTTTTTTTTATATCTTTGAGTTCTGCTTTGACTCTAGAGACAGAACCTGCTGAAGTTTGTCTCACAGAAAATTGTGACTTTGTTGAAGAATTGCCTGAAATTAGAAAGCAGAAGCTAAAATTAGCACAATAGTGGCAGAAAATTAGAAYTGATAAAACAGTAGCTTAAAGCCACAAACAAAAGTTGAAACTAGCAAATCAGTGGCTTAAAGCTTAAATAATCAAAACACTAACTACAAGCTAAAATAAGCAAAACAGTGGTTTAAATCTCAAATTAGCAAAACAATAAATACAAGCTAAAATAAGCAAAATTGCAACTATAAGAGCAAAAACTAGCCAAACAGCAGCTAAAAGCTAAAATAAGCATAAGAAGACAAAAACAGAGGAAGGATACTGAAGCAAATAAATCAACAATGTTTTCGACCTTAACACATTTTTTTTCTTCAAAGTTTTTTAATTATTTTTTTTAGCAAAAACACAAACAAAAATACAAACTAACAAAAAATAAAATAAAACACACCCCTAAAAACCCTCCCATCCCACCCCACCTATACCGGATCTGCTAACAAAACATAAATATAAATACATCTTGTATTCATGTATCTGTAAATACAAAACACAGGTTTGTGTACAAAGAACCATTATTTGACCATCAGACAAAGTTATCTGCTGAAATTTTTTCTATGTAAGATAAAAATGGCTGCCAGATGTCAAAGAATTTGTTTACAGATCCCCTAACAGTATATCTAATCTTCTCTAAATGAATGTAAGACATAACTTCTCTTAACCARTGACCATATACTGGAGGATGTGGATCCTTCCAGCGAAGAAGAATAAGTCTTCTAGCCAGTAGAGAGCAGAAAGCTAACACCGTCCTCTGATGTTCAATGAGGGAAGCTTCTGCTGGAGCCACCCCAAAGAGAGAGATGAATGGTGATGGATGAACAGTTCGTCCAAATAGTCCTGAAAAGGTGTCAAAGATGCCTTGCCATTATCCATGTAGCTTTGGGCAGGACCAGAATGTGTGCAGGAGATTGTCTGCAGCGATCACACGTCAGATCCAAGTCTCTTTTGAATTTGCACAATCTGTCCTTAGACCAGTGTAGAYGATGTACTACCTTGAATTGAACTATAACATGTTTCACACATATTGAGGACRAATATATATTTTGAATAATTTTTTGCCAAACTGTGTCTGATATGGATTCCTCCAAGTCCATCTCCCACTTGCCCTTCAAAGAATCTAAATTGGAGTCAGAAAATGAGCTGAGCAGAGAATAAACTCTACTCATGGACCTTAACACATTTTTCACTGCAAAATGTAAATAAAGCTAAAATTACTACTAAAATTACTAAAATTATTGAACTTACTAAGAAAGTACATTCCTCTCAGTCAGTTTGCAATAAACATACAGATTTATGACAACAGAGTCAATGCTGACTCAGCATAAAAAATGTTTTATTAAAACTTGTTTTTAGTAAAAGTTTTATTTATGTTATTTTCATTAAAATCATCTTACTACAGAACAAAGTGAATCAGCTGTTGATGAAAACTGAGTGAAGTTTTCATTTAAACCTTTTTTGGTGATTCAGACAAACAGGATCGTCTCCACATGTTTAGACTAAGATTTCAGGGATAGATTCCAACTGAAGTGAGTAAATGTGGTGAACWGCTCTCAGCTGTAATCACACACAATTTGACCACAATTAATCTGACCATATTACCACCATTATTGTGTTTTTTAAGGCTACTCGTTCATGACGTCAGTCTTGACTTAGACTCCAAAAGTTCTTCAGKTCTTGATGTAAATCAGATTATTATCATTAAAAGAATTATATTTAAATAATAAGCGGTCAGTTTTTACATTTTTAGGCTTTCTGTCATACTCTACCACAGGTTTGTGTCAGGGATCAGGCTCAGCTACTACCACACCAAATCTTAGCTCGGAATCTGTAAAAGTGACTGAATTATTATCACCTCAGCTGTCTGTGGCATCCATCTTGGATGGGTGTGCAAACTGTGGTTCCGTCTGTAAAGGTCATTAAATTTTGTCCAGTTGTTTACCAGATATTTTGCTAACAGACAGTTGGACACACACAAGCAGACGTTCTTGTTTTGATCAAAGTTKAAGGTGGATTTCCTGGAAGACTCAGACCCTTAGAGAGAGAGAAGACGTGTTTATTTAAAAAGACGTTTGACTAATGTCTCATAAAGTGGAACAWTAAAACTGCTGAAGTACCTTCAAGGATACCCACTAAAGTAAATACACCTAGCTAACCTGTCCGACACACACACATCTGATCTAAACACAGAGTTTGGAGCTCAGATTGATATGATTGAGGTGAAACAGAGGGAGTGTGTGATTCACCACTAACTCTGCTGGTTAACCATCAACCAGAGAGACTCTCCACCTCTCTGCTGTCACTCACTGCTCTCCTCTCATCACACCCAGYCGGGACATCCCGTTACAAGGCGGAGCCAGGCCTGGAAAGAAAAAAAAAGTGAGGGGTGGTGGTGGTGGTGGGT